GGCGGCAGCGCCGAGAAGGAGCGGTCGAACTGGCGCGGGTCGGAGAAGGGGGTCAGCTCCGAGGTGCCTGGGGAACAGCAGAGGAGGGTCAGTCGCAGCCAGGCCACGCGGGGCTCCCGAGTGTGACCCGGGCTCTGGCTCGCAGGGCTCACTAGGGGACCCCCGCCTGGGGATCCCTGGGAAGCGCAGGGGGCAGGTGCCTGGGCCGCAGTCAAGGATGGGGCCTTGTCTTCCCTGAGCAGGTGGCCACTGAGGACCTGGCTCGGCTCGGGATGGCTCCCTGTCGAGGGCTGACAAGGCCGGGGGATGAAAAGGGCCTGTGACCCCCTTTAGGGGTCTGTTGAGATGCCAAAGGGGACCCTGCCTCTGAGAATAGGGTGACTGAGACAGAGAGAGAGACACAGAAGGGACTGGACCTGCCTGGAGGCCCCTGACCCCGGCAGCCTGGGGTAGTGTGAGTGCCCAGGTGCACACTGGGCTCTGCGTCCAGGCTGCGGGCCTCAGCTCACATCCGGGATGGAGCTGGCGCCCTGCAGGTTCTACCTGCAGCTCTGTGCCCCTCTCCTGCAGGCTGGCTGACCATGGCCACACAATGACCAGCAGCTACCCACACCTGCCTCGACAGCAAAGGAAAGGCCAGTTAGAGGGACCTTGGGGTCCAGGCCCCCACTGGGCGGTGTCCAGCCTGGCCCTGTGCCGGCTCCCTGGGAGTGTGGCTCCTCAGTGGGCTGGAAGACAAGGGCGTCCCAGCCTCTACCCTACTTTTGTGGTCACAGGCTGTGGAGCCTCACATTCAAATGGACTCTGGGACTGGGTCTAACCCAACTGGTGGAAAAATGGAGGCCCAGAGAGGGCGAGGCACGAGGACCCCACAGTACATTGGTTCTAGCGTAAAACCCCAGGGATTCTGGGGTGGAGCCCCAACGTCCGCCTTCTCATGATCAAGGCAGCAGAGCTGAGGCTAACCATGTGGCCTCCAGAACTGGACAGACATCCAGCTGTGTGTCCCTGGACGAGTCACTTGGCCTTCTGTACCCGTTTCCTGGGGACCACAGCCTTTTGTAAGGTTTCAGTTGACAGAGCCCTTAGAACAGAGCTGGGCACAGGGTAGTTCCTGTGGGGCTCTGCGCTGCTGCCATTGCTCTGACATCTCTTGCTGGCCCCCAGGAGGATGGGCCTTGCAGGACCCTGAAGAGAAGGGCCTGACCCAGACCCTTCCTGCACTCCAGCAGCAGCGGGGGTGGGGGAGCCTGGGAGTGTCCAGGAGCCAAGCCCATTTGGCGCCCAGCACTCTGTCTCACCCACCACGGCAAAGAGCCAGGAGGAGAGGGCCTAGGAAACCAAGTTCTGTCCCCTGTCCCAGTGGGGCTGGGGCCAGAGCTGGTGGGCACTGCTGACCAGGACTGAGGCCTGGCTGGGGACAGAGCGCTCAGGCCTCCTGCTTCCTCAGGTGAGACTTGTCCCTTCTGGGGCTTTGGGGTCTGCTCAGGCAGTTGGGTACACATCCCTCGGCAGTGCCTCTGGGCAGCTGGAACCTTCTGGAATGTCCGACACCCTCCCCAGTGGTCACTGGCTGGTCACTCTGCCTTGGAGCCTGGGAGGTCAGAGGTGCCTGGTGGCAGCTTGCATCTAGGACCCCAGGGGAGCAGGCCCTCCAGAGAGCATGAGGTGGGCGCCTCCTTGCTGAACAGGGTGGAGGTGGTTCCCATCCTCAGGGCAAAGGAACCCCACATGGAACCCAGTAAGGGACAGCAGGTCTGGGGCTCTGGGAACACGAGGTCCTGCAGCGGATGGCCTGGGCCTGGAGTGTGGCATCAGAGTCCACATGCACGGGACGACAAGCTCGGCCTGCCTGGACCTGCACTATCCGCCCTGCCTCCCTCCTCGAGGGGTGGGGGGTACCTGCCCTGGGCACGCCTTGGACCCCCCAGCAGCTTCCTCGAGTCTCCTGTGCCACCCCCAGCCTTACCGCCCCGGGAAACCCGAGCTGGCGGCCACTGTCCAACAGCCAATCCCAACAGTGGGAGGAAATGTTTATTTTTTTCTCCAAATTGCCCCAGCTGCTGCGTGGAGGCTGAATGGGCCCTTTGAGTGGTGAGAAGCCCCCATTGTGGGTGGCTGTGGCTGGGGGGCCGGGCTCAGCACTGCTCCCCGTGACCAAGGCCAGGGGGTCAGAGCTAGTAACCGGCACCAGGGAAGTGGTGGGTGTCCTGAGGGCACCCAGGGTGCCTGAAGGGAAGGGCTGCTCCCACCCCAAGGGAGGGCCCATGAGGGGCAGTCCTCATGCCCGGGCTGCCAGCATCCTTCTTTCCACTTTATAGATGAGAAAACTGAGGCTCAGAGAGGTTTGGTGACTTGCTTAAGAACACAGAGCCAGTGACAGGCAGAGCCAAGCTCGTAGCCAGGCCCACCTGACTGCACCGGTCCTGCCCCTCTGCTGGTCCTGGTCAAGGGCTCTTTCTCTCACCCCAAAGGGGACAAACCTGAAGAGGGGGACTTTACGGCCCAGTGTTGTGGGTGGCTCATGAGGGGCCAGGCCCTATTTCAGGATGTGGCAGGAGGAGGAGGACGGGCCAGCCACTTGCCCCGCACAGTCTGCTGACCTCCTCTCCCCCGACCTGAGGAGAGGCAGGGGCTGTGCCTGCGGCGGGGCAGGCCAGACCCCTTGGGCCTGCGTGGAGGATGGGCAGGTCTGCTTAGGGACCCACGGGCACCAATTCCCAGACAATGCCCCTCCAGCTGTGGCAGGGCAGATTCGGTCCCCAACACGTTAGCCAGGCTCTGCCCGAGGAAGGGGAGGTCAGCTGGGTTGGGGCTGCTGTCACGTCGAAGGCGCTGGCTCAGGGGGATGCGAGCAGGGTGTGCGGGTCCCTAGCAGCCGATCTGGGGGCCAGATCCGCTCCTGTGCTCCCCAGGGCTTGGGCTGAAAGCTGGGTGGAGGGGACTGAGCCCAGGCTAGAGGGGCCGCATCCAGCCCCCAGCTGCTGCGTCAGGCCTGGAGCACAGAGCAAGGGCTGGGCCAGGCCTCTGGTCAGCTGGAGGGGGAGGAGGAGGGGGAGGCAGGTGGGAGCCAGTCTGCAGTCCTGCTGCAGCCCCCTTCTCCAGGCCTCCTGAAGCACAGACCCTCCTGGGGGCAGCACCGTGGAGACTAGACCTGGTCATTAGTGGGCCGTGTGACCTGGGTGACTCTTAACCTCCTCAGCCTCAATTCACTCATCTGCCAAATGGGCCTCCTGCAGCTCTGCTAACTGGGAGAGAAGGCCAGAGTGCTGTGGCAGCCCGCCCCCGAGCCAGAGTCCTGCCCCTGCCTGGCCACTGCCAGGCGGCAAAAGCGCCCAGCCCACAACAGCCCCCAGCCGACATGCTGGCTGAGTCCTGCAGGCCAGGACAGGCCCTGTCCACTGCCTGCGGGCACCTATACACTCTGGAAGACCTACCTACAGTCCGGCTGCTACCTGCCTGCTGTCCCCAACTGGGCAATGGGGACAGAGCCCCAGTCCTCAGTGCCCCTGTTTGGGGGAGTCTCTGGGCAGCGGGGAGGCCTTTCCCAGACAGTGCCGCGTGTCTCTCGGGGGCTGTCGACTCGTCACAGTCTGAGTGCAGTCGAGTCCTGTGGCCTGAACACCCCCCAGCCCTGGGAGCCCCCCCACCTGACTTTCAGATGGGAGGCTGAGGCCAGGGGAGAGTCCTGGGGCACAGAGGGGACACATCACCCCAGTTTTCACAGGTCCTCTGGAATTAACCCCATATCCTGGGCTGTGTCCGCTCACGCTGATCCCGGGGACGTGGTTTGCCAAGTCAGGAGGTGGGTGCTGGGTGGGGCAGGGGGCCCCAGGGAAGCACCCGCAGGAGCGTGCCGCCCAGCGCCTTCTCCATGAACCAAGAGCAGCCAGAGCTTTTCCAAAGGGCCCGGCTGGGCAGGCGGGCCACGCCCCGGTTCCTACCTTGGATGGGGGTCTGGCCTTGGCTGCCGAAGTGGGTTGTGGTGGTGAGTGAGCCTCGGGGGCTGGGTGTGCTCGGCGTCACCCGCATGCGCAGCCGCTCCAGGTCCCCGAAGCGGTCAGGGAACGCCTTGGTCTGGTCTTCTATCTTCTGCCGGTGCCCTGGGGAGCATCAGAAGCCATCAGCCACTGGCTCCCTGGAGTCCCAGGCAACCCAGAAATGCCTCGCTCTCCTGGGAAGTTCTTCCTGAGTTCTAACCTCAGGTCTGCAGGGAGAACCCTGAGGTCACCACCAGCCTCCTCTGAGGTTTTCAGAAGACTCTCTGAACAGAGCATGGTGGTTCCAAGCCACCGGGGCTGCCAGGAGCTGGCCACTAACTGCACAAATCGGGGAGGCTTTCTTGGACAGGGTCAGTGAAGCTGTGAACCCAAGATCCAAGCTCAGGGTTCACATCAAAGTCTGTGGCCTAATGCTCCCCACCTGCTGTGAGGCAGAGGGGGACAAAGAGGCACCAGGCATGGGAGGCCTCCGTTCCCAAGGGTGGCAGGGAGAGAGGTCAGCAGTGCCCACCTCCGACAGAACAAGAGGCCCTGCTCCAGCCCCAAGGCACGGGGACCCCCTCGTCCCTTCAGCCTCTGGCAGAACGCAAAGCCACCAGGACACCGGGCAGGGCTGGCGCACCTGAGGGAGGGGCTGGGCTGAGCTCCTGGAAGCTGGGGTCAGGGGACCAGCCCACCTGGCCTGGGGCGTCACACTTGGAGAAAACTGCAGGCGCTTCCCAGCCCCCTGTTCTGGGCCACAAGGAAGAACCCCGCCTCACCTCCCGGGCCCCAGGAGCTGGCAGGGTCAAGGTGGCCATGCCCCTGCCCTCTTGCAGCCTGCTGAAGGCCAAAAGAGCTCTTTTTGAATGATATCAAGCCTGCGGGGACCTTCCCCGTCACACACACACTTTTTCAGTCACTCAGGTTACATTTCGCAAGCAACAAATCAAGTTTCCAAAAGTCAAAACACTGCAGATGAGGCATTTTGACCCATCCCAGGACCCCTCCAGAAGCCCCCACTGTAGAAGGCTTTCTACCCAGTCTTTGCTTTTGTTTTATGTGCATGGGATACAGGAAGACTCTCATGGAATTTTCTAGAATGGTGTCACCCTGGATATATCATATTGTCCCTTCCTTTTTGAGTGGCATGTCTGGGAGGACAAGCTCAGTTTCCTTACCTGTGAAACGGGGCTGAAAGGCCCGACTCCCTAGGACTTTAGCCTCAATAAGTGTGTGAGGACTGCTGTCCCTCGCTCTGTGTCACATCTGTTGGAGGTGCCCGTCACCTCCCTGATGAAGGTGACCAGGCCCTCTCTTACAGATCAGAGCACTGTGGATCAGAGAGGCACACAGGCTTGCCAGAGGTCACAGAGCAAGAAGTTGGTGGGATCTGTTGGACCTGCGCCCCTTTAAAAAAGTGGGGGAGAAGGGGGGCTGGGGTGGTGGCTCAGTGGTAATGCAGTCGTCCGGCATGTGTGAGGCACTGGGTTCCATCCTCGGCACCACAATAAAAAAAATAAACTAAAGGTATCGTGTCCATCTACAACTAAAAAAATATTTGAAATAAAGTAAAAGTGGGGAGGAGAGGAAAGACAGAAGAAGTTTGCCCGAGTCCTGGAGTGACGTGGAAGTTTTCAGAGAAGTGGGGGGGGGGGTATGACAGTCCCCTGCTGTCCTTGCCGGGGCTGGGAGTGGGAAACAGCCACCCACCACTGCCGGGAAGCGAGGGCAGAGCCGGGAGCCCAGGAGAGGCCTCACTGCTGGTTTTTAAGATGGGGATACAGGGTCCTGGTCCCTGAAGACCCCGAGCTCCCTCCACAGCCCTGCCACAAGTTCCAATGGGCATCTGCGAGTCCTAGGGGCCCTGGGGGCTCAGCAGGCCACTGAGACCCAGGGAACCCTGTGTCCTGTGACAAGGCCCCTTTCCAGAAGGGACACCTGGTGGCAGGAATAGGACCATCTGGCTTCTGGCCAGACCCTCTCCCCAGCTGTCCCCTCTGCACAAGGAAGTTGGGAAAGCAGGGCTGGGGCTGCACCTGGGCAGGGTGCTGGGTGAGTCACGCAACGGGGCGAGAGGGACGGGTGGGGAGTGGGGCAGGTGGAGAGGGAGCCGCGGGAGGCACCTGGCTGGTGGCCACTGTCAGCCAAGCCCTGACAGGGCTCCAAGAAGATGCCATGGCTCCAAGAAGAAGCCACTGGACATGGCAGGGAGGCACGGATGAGGCGGGGGACAAATGAATTTAGAATAATCTCAACAGGCAGGAAGGCAGCCGGATGGATGTGGAGACCGCAAACTGACCTGACAGCAGCTGGGTGCAAAGGATCTGGGTGTCTCAGTCAACCACAAGCCTGAAGTGAGCCAATGAGGCTACACCAAAGCTGCTGCAAAACCTCAGGCCGTGTCACTGTTGTCACTGGGGAATAAAGTCCCCATTTTCTGAGTCACACCACGTACAGAGAGTGCTTACAGGTACCCTGTGGCTGGCGGAAGGAGGGCAGGGTTTACAGCAGCCCGGGTTTGAGGCCCGGCCCTGCTGCCTGCAGCCTGCTCGAGTCGCATGCCCACCCCAGGCTGCAGGGGCCTCCCCGTGCCGCCCTCCCGGGCCGAGGTGCTGGCCTCAAGGCTTGGCCACCGTCCACTCCCCTGGGTCCCTGCCCTCACACGTGTCCCTTCGGCCCCTGCTGGTGAACCGAGGGGGTAGGTAGGATGGAGACAGCAGGCCCAGGCCAGGTGCTGCCCGTGTCTGGAATGCAGGGCCAGGAGACAGGACCAGTACCCAGTGGCTGGTCCCAGCTGGGAGCCGGTGACCTGGCCCCATAGTGGGGCTCTCTGTGGCGGTCCTGCCTTTGCAGAGGACGGACTTCCTGAGGGAGGACCTTCCCCAGCCTGCGGGACCTGCTGCCCGGTGCTGGGCGGCACTGCCGGGGAGGGGCAGGGGGCAGCGGGTGGCCTCACGTGGCCAGGGCGCCAGAGAGTCTGGGAGCCATAGGGCTGGGGCCCCCGCACTGGGAGCCAAGGGAACGGAAGTGCCTGAGCCCGAGGAGAGGACGGGGCGGCAGAAAGGGCTTCTTTCATCGCGGTTCCCACGGTGGGAGCCGGAGCCGGGAGCCGGGCAGGGGCTGGGGCTGGCCCTGGCCGGGGTCACCTGGGCCCGGGCTGGTGCCTCAGTCCCCCTGCACAGCCGCTCGCCGAGCCCCCTCTGGCTACCCCGACTCAGGTCTACAAGCAGCAGCCCCTGGTCAGCTGCCCACAGGCACCCGGGAAGAGGGCGGGGCTGCCTCCCAGGCCCCTCTCCTGCTGCTGCTGTGGCCAGCTTCTAGAATGTTCTCCACCCCACACTCCAGAGCCTCAGCTCAGAACAGCAAGGCCCTCTTGACCGTCAGGGCCAGATCCAAGAGCCCTCCCTCCAGGAAGCGCCCTTCCTCCCGCCACGGAGCCCGCGAAGGCCCTGGTGTGGGAGCTGGAGGAGTGGGAACCCCACCAACTGCAGCCGCTGTCCCCCGAGTGCCTGTCCCCACAGCGGGTGAGCAGCCCAGCACTGCCCGCCTTGTTCTGCGAGGTCCTGCGAGCAGCTCTGCCACCCGTCCCCGACGGCCAGTCCTGCGCTCAGGGTCACACAGAGCCACCTGCCCACCTGGTCTCCCTGGAGCCTGGGGCTTGACCAGGGGTGTCGGCCTCAGCCCAGGCCAGGGCATGGGCTGCTTCTGCAGATGCAGGAGGACGGGCCTGGGCAGGGCACGCTGGGGTCTCTCAGGGGGCCCCCCAGGACTAGGCCCTGCTCTGAGGCCTGGGATGGAGGGGCAGGTGCACGGTCACGCCCTGCTCCAGCCCGCCAAGTCTCCCCACTCTAGGCCTCAGTTCCGACATCCACGGTCGGACCCCGGCTGTGGGGGAGCAGCGCACAGGGGCTTCGAGTGGCCTCGGGTGGGCAAAGGCCTGGCGACTGGGGCTCACTGTCTTCAGCCGACAGAGGAGGAGCCTGGGTGCAGAGCTGTTTAGAAGTCGAATTCCTGGGGAAGACAGAGACGCTGGGGAGAAGCCCCCGCCCAAGGGGCCCGGGTGGGCTGCCATAAGCGGCCAGCAGCTGGGCTTCCCCAACATGGCCTGGAGTAGTGTCCAGGGGCCTCCCCAGGGCCCATGGCAACCTGCTCGTCGTCCTGGGCAAGGCACCTCCCGTTCTGGGCCTTGGCTGCCTCATCTGTGAAGTGGGATCACGCAAACGGATCCCTGAGGGGGACGATGGGTCCAGCAGGGGACAGTGAGCCAGGCACTGGCTTCAAGAGAGGCCTCTGTGGCCCCAGTTCTGACAAGGGCACCTTCTCCAAGCCAGCAGCTCCGCTAGGACACAGCTGGACGGTGGGGTGGCCAAGGTCACAGGTCTGGTGGGGAAGAACACTGGGGCCCTGCAGGCTGGGTGAGTCACCAAGGGTCACATGGGGTCTCCTGACCCTGTCCCCAGGACACTGCTCATCACCACTAGTCAGGCCAGCACGGGGTCCCACTCCCTACCGGGTGTCCATCAAGGCCAGCCCCCTGCCTCCGTGCAGCCCAGCACACACCCCTGCCAGGGAGGCACAAGCCCACTCGTCTTAGGACAAGTCAGGCAGTGTCCACTGCGGCGTCACACACGATACCTCCGCAGCCACAGGCCTTGAGAGGTGGTCACCGTCACCCCCTCTTAAGGACAGGGAAGTGGAGGACAAGGTTAAGGCCACACAGTGACATTCAACCTGGAACCACGGCGCGCTCCACGGCGCTGGGCCGGAGCAGAGGCTTGGCTTCCCCAGGCTCAGCCGGGTGGGAGGGCGCAGGAAGCAGGGGAAACAGGGTTGAGCAGGGCCCCGGGGTCCAGGGGACAGTGTCGTCTGCTGAAGACGGAGGGAGCCGCAGTCGCCAGGCCTGTGCCCACCCGAGGCCACTCGCAGCCTCGTCGCTGGGACCCAGACACAGCGGCCACTGTCTGCGGCGGGGCTGTGGCCTGTCAGGAGATTTACACCGGACCCTCTGGCCGCGGAGTGGAGCGGCGCTGCCCGGGGTGGTCTGCCGTGAATCGGCCCCCTGTGAGCAGATGAAAGCGGCGGCGGCTGGGCAGGGAAACGGGCTGGCGGGGGGCCAGCGGGCAGGGAGGCGGTGGCGCCCTCCCAGGGCCGCCATGGGGCTTCCAGTGGCCTGGGCTTGATTAGGGGAAGCCGGGAGGTCTGAGGTTAACCCCTTCCCTCCTGCGGGGCCGGCGCCCTGGCTCCCCTGGGCCTGCCCCAGCTCCTGGGCTTTGGTGGCCTTGGTTCCTGGGGTCCCGTGGGGGGGCACTGGCCTCTCCCAGCCCAGGCCTCCCTCCCCCGGTCCCCACACCCAGAGTCCAGGATGAGGCTGTGGCCACTTGAGCCTTCGCCAAGGCCTGGCTGCAGGCTCAGTCACTGCTCCTGCCCCTGCTGAGCCCACCCCCCCTGCAGCCACACGGCCCTCCCGAGGACCCCGCCCGCCCCTCTGCCCGGCCCACGCTGGGCTTTTCCTCGAGGGGTCTCTCGTTACCTGGAATTAAATGAAGTATTTACAAGTTTTGGTTCATTTATTCACCAAATATTTACTGAGCACCTGAAGTGCTCCTGTCCGCACCCGGGGGTCTCAGTCAGTGCCCAGCAGGACAGAGAAAAGCGCCCCTCCTCCACCGTGAGCATCACCCAGGGTGGCATGGAAAATAACATGACACAGATCAGTGAGCTGCAGGGCACAGTGGAGGGTGATGAGTGTCCGCGGTACAATTAAGGCTGGGCAGGACCCGGGCAGGTGAGGACGGCTGGGTGTGTGGCATCTAAGATGGGGCAGTTGCTGAGAAGGTTGAGCAGAGCCTTCAGGGTGGGGAGGTGGGGGCTGGGCGTCACTCTGGGGGTATCTAGGGAGCAGCAGCAGTGCAAAGTCCCTGAGGCAGGAGTGTGCCAGGCAGGAGGCCAGGGTGCCCAGAGCGGGGGAGGAAGAGGGGAAAAAATTAGGTGCCATGGTGACAGCAAATCTGTTTTCCACCTCTCCCCTCTGGAGCGCAAGTCCCAGGAGGTGGGAAGCCATAGCCTGGGTTCCCAGTAGTGTCCCCAGCACATGGAATGGCACCTGACGTGCGTGGCATGGGTGGTCTGGTGTGGGTGCCCAGGGAAGCATCTGTTGGACCCATTCCAGGTACGACTTGGGGAAGAGGAGGGTCCTGGTGCAGATCCTGAGTACCTCGACCCGCAGCTTCTGGAGGACTAGAACGCGGGTCCCTCCCTTCTAGTGCCAGCCCTTCTGAACAGGCAGGGGGTCAGCCGTTCCCAAACTGTGGTCCCAGCCCACAGCTGCCACCCGCCCGCCCTGGACCCAGCTCAGCAACCTGTGTTCTCACCAGCCCCAGCGACTCGGAGGGACACCAGCCCCGGGAACCTCAGAAACCAAGGCCACACAGGCAGGAAGCCACCGAGCCAGCCTCAGACCCAGCCGGCCACCTGGCTGCAGGCTGGGCACGCTCTGCAGGGCACCAGAGGGGAACGACCCGGCCACAGAACCCACAGCCCGGCCTCAGGGACGGCAGGCTCCCGCTCCCGCCCGCCACCCCACAAAGGCCCAGGCCTCACAGGGGAGAGCCTAGAGAGGAGACCCCGGCACAGGAGGCTGGCGACAACCCCAGGGCTGCTGGCACTTCCTGTGGGCCGAGCGCCGGAAGCTCGCGGAACCTCCCAGCTCCCCAGAGCAGGAGAACACCACACCACGGGTGCAGGGCCGGGCGGCCCCCACCTCCCGGCCCCAGCTGAGCCCCGGGCACTAAGGGAGCTGGCTCTGCCTCCCTGGGCCCGTCCCCCGACCATGGTGAAGGACATCCATGGAGCCCAGCACACAGAGCCACGGGGGCCAGCAGCTTTGGAACTGGCCTCTTTCCTCTTCTAGATGGGGAGGCGGAGGCCAGGGAAGTGGGAAGGTATGTCCAGGGTCCCAGACTCAAGGCCAGGCTGGGCCAGGGCCAGGGCCAGGGGCAAGCCGGCCCGAGGATGGGGACCTGGAGAGCCCGCCCCTCCCACTTCCTGCTATTTCCTGAATGAGCTTCTGCTAAGATCTTGTTTGAACAAGTCACATTAACACTGCCAACCTGGCCCTTGCTCTGGCCCAGAAAGGGAGACCATCTGCCTCAGGTCACACAGCAATCCTGGCCTCTGACGCCCTCTCAGCCTGCTTCTTTCTCCTCTCTGTCTCCCTTGAACTCAGTGCTCTCTCCTGTGGGCCACTCACCCAGAAGGGGCCATCTCAGGCTGGGGAGGCCCCAGGAGAGGAGTGCAGGCCAGGGACTCAACTGGGGGCTCCCTCGGACAGGACCGGGCCTTTAGCTCATCCAGGACCCTCAGTGGAGGAGAGTGGGCGGGGCGGGGCGGGCTGCACGGGGATCTGAGGGATGCCAGGTCCCCCCAGGGGGGTTTCTACCAAACCAAGACCCCAGAACGGGGTGCTTCCTTCTTTTAGGAGTGGCCCTAAGTGCTGTGTGCGCGCACACACACAAACACACACACACACGCATGCACACGCACAGAATCCAGCAGTGGCTCCTGTCCATCTGATCCTGCCCATGGGGACTTCAGCAGGACTGTGGCCACCTCCAGTGGGGGCTACTGCGGCCCCTCTGAGCAGAGCCTGGTTCCCGGCAGCCGCCTTATGGCTCCTGGGGAGGCTCACCATCCAGCGATGGTGGAGGAGGGGGTCAGTGGGGGTGGGCACCGGGAAGAACAGAAGGCCAGGGACCTGGTGACTCATGAGGATTCTGACAGAGCCATTTGTTGTTCACATGTTGCCTACGGGGCGGTGGGGGGGGGGATCGTCCCACTTCACGGGTGGAGGCCCAGAGAGATCAGTGACTTGCCTTAGGTTGCACAGCAGATGGAAGCCCTGGCTAAGGCAACGGAATACCTGTCAACCCCCTGTGAGAGCATTGTCTTCCCACAAGAGCACCATGAGGTAGCTGCCTGTGTGAACCCATTTTTCAGACGAGAAAACCGAGGCCCGGAGGTAACTGGCCCAGGGCTCGACTAACCAGGCAGGCTGGCTTGGACTCTGCTCTGTGCACCATGGAAGACCAAATGGGCTTCCCAGTGACCACTACCCTGAGACTGCTGGGCTCACTGACCCAGTTCACAGGAGACAAAACCAAGCCAAAAAGGACACGTGACTGGCGGCGGGTCACGAAGCCCCAGGCCAAGGGCGTGGACGTGTCCATGTCGGATCCCAGCAGGCAGGAATTCTGCCAGAGCCGCTGGGAGCTGATGACCATGTGCAGGAGCCTCAGGGTGGCTGTAGGGGGTGACCCATGAGGCATCCCAGGGTGGCCTGGCCCTGCTCTGAGCCTGACCCAAGTGGCTGCTGCTGACCAGACTCAGGACCCAGATGCAGGGGAGCGAGGTCCCCGACTCCAGGGCCAGGCCGACTTATCTCCCTGACCCGCCCTGGCACGCAACTCTCCTTCCAAGCTCCTGGGCACTGGGGAGAGGTGCCGAGCTTACCCTCCTGCCCCGGCCAGCTCAGCCAGCCATGGGAGCTCCCCTGGAAGCCTGAGGCCTGGCACCAGCCCCGATCTGGCACCCCACCTCCTCGGGGCTGCATCTGCTCTTCCTGGAGTGAGCCGACCCTTCAGCTCAGCTGTCATGAGATCCCACGCAATAAGAAGCAGGAAGGGCTTTGCTAAACTGCAGAGGACCACGCTGACGAGAAGGCGAGGGACAGGCCAGCGCTCCACACCCCAGGTTGGGTGTGCCAGGGAGGGGCCGCGGGTGGGGCAGAGCTCGGGAACGGGGCTCAGGAGCAGCCTGAGTTCTCTCAGAGGCGGGCAAACACAGACCCTGGCCTCCCTCCGGCTTCCCCAGCTACCCGCGACTCCAGGCCCTTCAGCAGGCAGAAGGAGTCAACCATAAACTCGGGGGGACCGAGACCCCTGGACACAGCAGATGCTCAGGACATATCTGCAGAACAAAGCTGCATTGGTCTCATCTGGGTGGGTGGGTCCCGGGACAGTGCCTGGGCTCCGAGACTTGAGAGTCCGATGCTGAGATTTCAAGAGACAGTGTGGAAGGGGCCCTGGCTTTCCCTGCCCTCAGCCACGGGTAGGGGAAGCTGGCGTGCGGGAGAACCTGGCCAACCTGTACCCCAGACCACCCCGGCTCCCACGTCGTATCTGAAGCCTCCTCCGCGCTCATTTTCCATTCCTTGTCCCCCTGCTGTCCACCCCTGGGCAAAGGGGTCACCCAGCTGGTTCGGCGTCCAGCCCCAGCCTCCCATCTCCTCCCCGGCCTCCCACGGCCTGGCGCTGTGCCCGCAGGGAACTTGCCGGCAGATCCACGTGTCGGGGGCATGTGTAGAGCCGGGGACCCCGGCCCCACCTGTGCCCCAGGGGTCCAGGGACATCTGTCTGACCCTGCTGCTGCCCTTCCCCCACTGGCCCTTGCTCCCGGGGCCTGGGGCCCAGTGACACTTACGTCTGGGCTCCCGGGGTCCATCCACGGTGACCTTGATGGCTCGGTGGTAGGTGGCCACTTGGGTGGGGTTGGTGAACACAGTGATGGTCAGGGTGAAACTCTTTCCTGGGGGGACAGAGGTAGGAGGTTGGCACCTGAACTCAGTACCCTGGACTCCCACGCAGATCCCGCCCCGGAAGCCCCCGACTCCCGGGAAGGGGCAGGTCTCTCCCCTTGAGTCCCGGGCAGAAGATGAGGCTCTGGATGAAAGTCAAGCTGCTGGGTTTGGCTTTCCCGGTCCCTAGGAGACTGGCACGAGCTGTCACGTCCCCCATCGGCACCCTGGCTCCTTCCTGTATCCTGGCCTTTCTTGTGCCATTTCTTCTGTTCAGGGACCCGCATGATTTTGGAGTGTGTGGGCGGGAGGCAAGGAGACACGCTCACACTCACACTCAACGTGTTTTCTGAAAGCTGTGACCTTTGTGGAAAATTCTGAGCACAAAGAAATCATAAAAAAAAAAAAAATAGCAGCAGACCCTCCCCGTGGCTCCACTACCTAGAGGTCACCACCGTCACCCTCCTCTCCGCCAGGCCTCTCTGCGTGGGGACTCTGCATATTCACATGGTGGCAGTGGGACCGAAATCTGTTTTCATCCCCAGCGTTTTTTCCCCTCTTAATTTGACATCTCATCAGAAGCACTTTCTCGTGTCCTTAAAACTTCTTCCTCAGTGGCTGCGGACCACTCCGGGCTCCCGAAGCCGCGCCTCCTCTCTGTCCCCTGACCCTCAGGTAGGCATGCGCTGCCCGTGCCTCGCTGGCGGGCGCAGCCCCAGCTGGGGAAGGACAGACCTGGGAGCTGCAGACATTTCATTCTGTCGACACAACTGTTATTTCCAGAGCCCTGTTCTATTTTTAGACACACATTTGGCTCCAAAGTCTCCATTCAAAATTCCTGAGAGGGGGGGAACAAAAAACCTTTAAAATAATACCGAATAATACCTTTTTTTTTTTTTTTTTTTTTTTTACCACTTAAAATAAAACGAAAATGACCTTCTGTGTGGAGAAATCTCTGTCTGCATCTCAGTGATTTCCTTAGAATAGATTCCAAGAAGTGGCGAGCGATGGCAGCGCCGGGGCCGGCCGGGGACAGACGTGCTTGCGGGCGCTGGTCTCTGCGCGAGATGACTCTCCCGCATCACGTCACCCGAGGGGCCGTCGGGGCAGCGACCCTGTCTATCAAGATGGAAGATCTCCAAACCCTCCTGCTCTGTCTTCCGCGATTAGTGAGAATGAAACTGAGGCGGCTGGTATCCAGGATCCCACAGGCCGCTCTGGCTCCCCTCTGCTCTCCTGAGCGGGTTTGAGCGCCTTGAACAATCGCTGTGCATCAGGGTCCAACATTTTCCGTGTCGTCTCGGTGGCCCTCAGCCCCCCGGCGGCCGGCTTCTCATTTCGCCAGTGCCGCGCCGGCCTCAGTTTCCAGCTCCGCACCCGCGGGTGACTTCGCCGGGCTCCCAGCAGAGGGCACGGCCTGTGCTGTCTGCAGTGACTACCTGGATGGGTCTGGGGTGAGGGGCTTCCTCCAGGGCCGCCAGTTCTTGTAGGAGTCTTTCTTCTGCCCTGGCCTCCGCTAAGCTCCGAGGCGCCACGCAACTCAAGATGGAGGGAGCTTCCTGGCCCCCAAGTCAGACCTCCCCTCCCCTCTTCGGTGTGCCTACCCGTCTATGGAGCTCAGTCAAGGGCCTGGGAAGTCCCCGAGGGCAGGGACCGAGGGCCAAGCGCACCCTGCCCCCCCAGCTGGGCTGCAGCGGGAGCCTCGGGTTCCCTCTGTCCTGCCCACGGCCCTCGAGGCCAGCAGGCAGGTTCCAGTAGCCTGCCCCCAGGTGGGGGACGAGGCAGGGTGAGCCAGTCCTCGTGCTCCTGGGGCGGCTGGTCTGGCTGGCTGAGTGAACTTGTGAATGTCCCCTCCCTTCCCAGCCCAGGAGCAGCCGGAACAGAGTCACACCAGGCAGGTGGCAGGGGCCGGAACCACGGCCTGATGCCTTCAGATGCAAGGGAGAATTCAAAGCCAAAGAGTGGCCGAGCGGGGGTCCACCGGGAACTAGGGGCTTCCTGGATGGGGCCGTGGAGCCGGGGGCTGAGGGGACAGAAATACTAAGGCACTGCCCCGGGGGTCCCTGAGGCAGAACAACCCTGGACCCCCACTCTCGGGCCACAGGGGCACTTGGCAAGATTTCTGCAAAGAGCAAGTACTGACCATCTAGGGAAATGCAGGGTAGGTGACTCCTGGACACTTCTGCCCCTCGCGGTGAGGCCATCTCCACCCTGGACCCCCTTCCCCACAATAGCCAGGCATGCTCCGGGGGTCTCAGATTCTGCAGACGTTTCCCAGCACCACCTGGATTGCATGGGTCCTTGCTGATGGCCTGCCCGGCCACTGAGGACCCACGGGTCCCCCTCCTCTACTGCTTGACGACGGTTTACTAAAGTGCTCCTTCAGGTCTGGACTGAAAAGTCACCTTCTCAGTGAGGGCTTCCCTTGTCACTTTCTCGGATGTAGGCTCTCCTAGGGCCAGGGTGTGGCTCGGTGGCAGAGCGCCTGCCCAGCACGCACAAGGCCCTGGGTTCCATGCCCAGCGCCACGAAGTAAATACATAACAATAAAATAGGCATCTTTAATTTTGGTCTCCTTGGGGGACCTTCTTACCACTGAGTAGGCTTGTGAACTGGGACAGGAATGGTATTGTCCCCAACCTCTAACTGAAACCCAGCATCTCTCAAGTAAGAGCGTCAGCAACAAACCGCAGAGTTGCAGGCTATACCTGCGACCTTGTCACCAACAGACAGCAGACACTCCCGTCTCACGTTACAGCCCGTGCAGATTTCTCTAAATACTTTCATGCTCGTCACGACTTCAAAATCACCGTGGTCATCAGACCCGGTGCTGGCTCTCTTTGACATGTTGAACAGAGCACACGCTTATCACAGCTTCTTAAGCACCTTGCTGTTTGGGCACAGCGGGTGGCCCTGCCCTCTATTGCTTATTTTACACCAGAAGCTGCTGGCCTGGTCACTGCAGCCTCCCCCGGCCCCCTCCATTCCCTGCACCTGTGTGAAAGTCCCCGGGAAGCCCATTGGCTTTAATAATCCATCGGCTTATTTGTTTTTGTCTCCCTGTACTAAACTGTAAGCTCCTGGGGACGAGAATTTATGCCTTGTTCACTACTGTGTCCCCAGCCACTAGCATTGGGCACGTAGTAGGTGCTCAATAAATGTGTTAACTGCAGTCGGCACAGAAATGACTGGATAAGAAAACTGGGCCTCACCGGGGGGCAAGGAGTTGACGAGGTCAAGCAGAACCCAGAAAGGTTAGAATGTGCTAGAAGCTGCCCCTCTACACAAGTAGTAAAGACCCACTTCTGTGGAGCCCCTGCCCCATGGAGTAGCAAACCACATGCCACCAGAGATCACCGCACGCCTCTGCAGCTTCCCCCAGCTTCCAGACCTGTCACCACCCGGCCAGGTATCCACAGAGAGGAATGAGTGTTGGGAGGACCCAGGGTCTTGGGTCTGGGATCAGGAGTGGAGGGGAGAGCAGGGACCTTGGGAACCAGGGGAAGGAGAAAGCCATCCCCAAGGGCCCTTGTCTCTCCCTGGCCCTGCCCAGCTCTCAGGGGACCTCTGGGTCTTCTCCACATTGGCCAAGACATCCTCATCCTTCCCTGGTTAGTGGCTCCCGGGCTGCACCCACACACCTGGCCACTCTCTCCACACACTGCTGTCCCCGGCAGCCAGTTAGTGGCAGTTCAGGGGCTCATGCTGAGGTCAGTGGTCACTTCCTAGAGGATAGTCTGGGGATCTGGGGTGGTGCGTTGTCCAGGAAGCACTACGGACCCTTGGAGGTGGGGTGAGGGCAGTTGTAAAAGCCCAGCACTGCACCAGACAGGAAGAAGCCATTTTTTTTTCTAGGAGGAAAAAACTTGCTAAAATTCCCTGAGCCCTGAACCCAACTAGTTTTCATAGAATAAGAAAAATAGTTATTGCACTTTCAATATCTATGGACTTTTCTAGAAGGGAAGATAGTTTCTTTTTTTTTTTTCTCCTTTTTAAGAGGCAGGGTGCTTGCCTAACATGTGTGGAGCCCAGGTTTGTGACTTGGCATTGCATAAAAGAAAAAAAAAATGGTCCCTAACTTTGCCAAGAGTGTTCACATCTTTAGAAAATCGGGGCATGGACAGTGAGGCTGTGTTCACACATGGAGTCCTTAACCCTGACCGCTCTGTTTCTGTGGCCACCATGGGGCCAAGGGCCTTCTCCACCCTAGACACCTGGAGTCTGGCCTTGACACTTACACATTCAAGTCAATATTTTATTATAAATTACTTTCCTATTTTTCCTGCACCGTGGCTAAGGTATGATTTGGATTTTGCAACCGTAAGTAGGTAGACCGTGGTGTCTGCGGTGTCAAGCAGGAGAAGGACATATTACCACAGGCCACCCTAGGGAAGGGGCCTGCGCCTGGCGGGCGGGAAGCCCGGCGCTACCTGCTGCGGGAGGCAGCTGAGCCTGGTTTTCTTTCCAGTCCTTCCGGGGTCCACACCTGCAGCCCGAGGTCAGAGCTCTGTGGGGTGTCTTTTTGGAAGCTATTCTCCCAGGAGTTCAGACAGAATCCAGGGATTTTTAAAAATGGAGGAGTGAAGTAGAAACTTCCACCTGAATTCTTTCTTCGTCCTGGCTAAAGTCAAAAGGCTCAGGGAGGGGGTCCTGGGTCCTGAACCCCAACCTGTCCTGACTCCAGTGGCCCAGACTCCCTGTCAATCACAGTTGGTCCTCTGGTGGGAATTTCCCAGTCAGCAGGACGGGCACAGCGGGGTGTGGCTGCAGCCTGAGCCCGGGACCCTGAGCCCTCCCTGACACCTCCACCTCTCCCACTGAACACTCACACCTTCTGGGTTTCCCCCACCCCCGCCCAAACCACACTGCAATCAGAGAATCAGTGACTGTCACCGCTCAAAGGGACCTCAAAGGCTTCCTCCAGTCCCAAGCATTTGAAGTAACAAAATCTCTAACATGTATCCAGGTCTCCGTGGGAGCCCACGGACACACTTACATCGACGCCCTTAATGAAGTGGCTACCCTTTTCAGACCCATTTTACAGACGAGGAAACCGCAGCACAGAGAGGTGAAGCCACTGGCTCACATCCTCCAGAAAGTCACTAAACATGGCTGGGACTCCATCTGGGGCTGGCAGGTTCAAGCCCAGACTCTTAAAAGACCAGGAGCCCCCGAGGGCTGAACCACAGGAGCTGAACTCCTGCAGGGGCTCCCCACCCCTGCTCAGCCGCAGAGACTCCTCAGAGACTGGACGTGAGAATGGTTTATAAACACGGCTTCCAGCACCTTCCGGAGCCACAGTACCAGCCCCAGCCTTGCCCACTCCTACAGCACGCAGGTCAACGGTAATCTGGAAACCTCTCTCCTTGCCTGTAAGCCTCGGGTGGCGGGCACAGGTCTGTGGGCACGGGAGCCACTGAGAAAACATTTTCAGTGTGCAGAGAGGCCGGATGAGGTCTCAGTAAATCAGAGACTCACCACCTCTCTTCCTTCCATATCTCACCTCCCAGAATGCGGACCAGGGAGGGAGGGAGAGGGAGGCAGCAAGTCCCTGATGCCCTGCTGGGCTCCCTTCTTCCTGCTCCCTAGGGAGGCCGCCACAGTGGCCCCGAACCACCCCCAACACACACCTGGGCCAGCCTCGCTCCGCCACCAACCACCAACCTGCCACGGGGACTCTTCACTCAAGGCCCAGGCTGGGATTAAGTTGCAAAGGGTTTGAGAGATTGGGGATGACAAAAGGGGCTTGGAGACTAATTAGGAGCAGCAATGAAAGCTTAATTCATAAAAGCAAACATTTTCCACCCGTCAACCTGCAACCAGTTAAGGGCAACGTTTGAAAGAAATCTGTGCGCGGGGAAGGAGCCAACAGGAACAGGAAATGTCTGAAAGAATGTAAACTATTTCAGTTTCATAAAAAGTAACAAGTAAACAGTTATTACATGCAAATAATGCCCTGGTTTTAATTAATGCTGAAAAGTCAAAATATGCTTGACGTCTGTGTGTATACATTGAGCGGCTGGAGAGGACAAAATGGTGCCCAGATGCCCGCGCACGGGAAGGGCTGGCGGCTCCCAGGGAACTAAGACCTTGAGAAGGCCTCGCTGATTGGTGATGAAAAGTACAATTCGGCTCCAGCCGCGGCTGCAGCCCGGGAGTCGGGACCCGGAACCGGCTCGCGCCTGAGCTGGAGGGGCTGCAGCTCAGCCGGCTCCCTGGGCAGGAGGATCTTAAAAGGCCAGCAGCGGGCCAGCAAGCCTCCCTTCGCCAGGGCAGGGTTTCTAAGGCTTCTCCACCCTGGAGTTAAGTGATGATGGGTTTCAGGTCCCCGAAATCTCTCCTCAACAGCCCCAGGCGGCAGCCACTGCGGCGTCCTCCACTGCCCGGGGAGATGAGACCCTGGGGTGGCAGGGACCTCAAGCAGTGCTCTCCAAAGTTCGGCATCCTAACCTCATTTTTTCTCTTCTGTTTAAAACACCTTAGGGCTCAAAGAGCTGCTGGGGAGACAGGAGGAGAGCTCCTGCCACAGGGAGGGGCACAGTGGCTGAGACATCAAGGGTATGTCCTCCAAGCCCCCAGCCAAAAGGCCCAGAGCTCCCTTTGGGAGCCCCTAAATCCACAATCCCCCCCCCAGCTTCTTCCCTGAAACCCGTGGTGCTTAATGGGGAGAAGGGCGGCCTGGGAGGCTTCAGGAGCTAGCAAACCTCTGAATCGGGGAGAAAGCGGGGTCTTTTCCTGTCGAGAGACCATTACTTTCCTTACCCCCTCAAAGGGGTCTGTCACGCCCTAAGCCAGGGCAACTGCAGCTTCAGACAGCAAGGCCTGGAGACCTGCTCCTGCGGCTCCGGGGGCCCCCACCCCTGCCGTCCCTGGCGAGAGCCTTCCCCTCACCTCGTCCACTGCGGCCCACAAAGCGGAGGTCGTTGAACCTGGCCACCTGGTTCTTCATGACGGCCGAGGCATTGCGCAGCTCAGCAGAGTAGTTCTCGTCGTTGCCGGCCATCACGGTCACCACGGTTCCGTCCGGCACATCGCCCAGTGCCACCACCTGAGGACACCAGGCAGGAGGGACAGCTTAGAAAGGCATAGGGAGGCAAGGGATGAGAGGAGGGGCCGGCCGCCAGCAGCTGCCCAAGGTCCCCGGCGGCGGCAGCGCACTGCGGATTTCTCAAATGCAGGGAGGGAAGGGACTTCAAGCTGATGAAGACCTTCCCTCAACTAGGACAAACCCTAAAGTCTGCCACCTCCCACACCTAAGTCCTAAGTCAACTGGCTAACCCGTGTCCCAAGAAATCATCCTTCCAATTCCATGAAACCCAAGCACGAGCTGCGGATGCCTTCGGTTACGGAGGTGGGATGTAGTTCCCCTGTTGTCCTCGGCTCGAGCAAAAAGAGGAATCAGTATGCGCCTAGCAACCAAGTCTCTAAGTAAAAAGAATATCAACAATAATAACAGAAGTGCTCCTCGCACTCCGTGCACGCAAGAGCCGTTTGGGGCATGCAATTTGGTCCTGCAATGTGGCCCAGGCCCGGTGGACTGGCTCCTGCAGAGCCTGGGTTCGTTAGGAAGAGAAAATACAAAATACAAAACAAACTGCCGCTTTGACAGAGGTCACCCAGAAAGCCCCTTTACAGCAAGAGAGGGCTTCTGAGAGCAGGAAGATGCACCTGCTGGGAATTGCAAGACGGTTGGAGATGTCCTCCAGTGCACCAGCCCCCCCAGCCCCCACCCCAAAGGAGCACCGAGAGGCAGATGCCTTTTTAAAAGGAATCAGACTCCAAACAGAGTCACAGCCATTTAAACGTGGCTGCCGCGTGCAGGGACTCCAGGATCCAGATGGTAAAAATTTCAAGGAGAAAATGTTTGGGGTCTGATTAAAAAGGCCAGATTTCCTGTCAACATCCTGTCTTCTTTTAATTTCAAAGATTCCTTTTAAGCTCCAAGTGACAGTAAAACCTCCGATCTGACGATTACAGTCACACGGGCCTCCTCCCCCTCCTCCCCGGGAGATTTTCCCCGCTGGTATTTTAAGATGTCACCCGGGAGACCTCAAAGAGCCACTCATCCTTTTTTCCCCCCCAATTCGGAGACGTCTTAATGGGAGTAGGGACGGCCTCAGCTGCCAGCAGCTGCTGTTTCCAGCCACCTCGGGCACCACCACCTCCCTAGCCGCCGGCCCTTCCTGCCCTGCCCTTTCTCACGGCAGCTGTGAGAGGTTTAGGGGAAAACCAAGGCGTTTTTCGTTTCATCTCGCTGCCCCCTTAAAAAAAATGAAAATGAAACAGTCTCCTACTCTCTGGCACAGAGGAAAAGACTCTCCAAATGACTAGGGGCTACCAGGGGTGGGAGCAAGCACCCCACTCCCAGCCTGTCGCTGGGGATGCAAAGATCCCGGGGACAATCCTTTAGGGTGCAGTGCCCCACTCCCAGACCCAGGGTCGCCGGGTGTAAAATTTCAGAAGCCCAGAGGTTGAGGGTGTGAGCAGGAAGTGTTTCGGTAGCGGCGCACAAGGCGGGGTGCTGGCAGCAGAGGCTAGGCCCTGTTCACCCTCCTCGCTCCACCTCCGGTGCCCTCGCCGGTACGGGGTCCTCTTCCCGGCAGCTCAAAGGACTGTATCCGAGGGACCCCGATTCAGGGGAACGAAGCCCCATTCGGCCGTTTCCGCCTCAACGTCTCTGCGTAGGGCTCCACGAAGCCCAGGTGGAGGGGAGCAAGCCCCTAGAAGTCACCGGCTCAGGGCGCAACCCCAGGGGAACGCCGAAGTCCCCGTGCCCAGCGCACAGCCGGGCAGCAGCTGCCCAGACCGCGGCCGCAGAGTCTGGGCCACATCCCTTCCCCACTCCTGGCAGCTGGGACGCGCGGAGCCCCACGGCCGTTGGATCCCGCCTCAGGCCCCGCACTCACCTTGAAGGCGACCGGCAGCGTCTTGTTGCAGCGCCAGTGAGAGGGCAGGACGGAGCAGAGGAAGTTGGGGCTGTCGGTGCGCACGAGCTCTCCCGCGTGGTCCGCCAGCACGTCCACCATCGAGCGCACTTCGGGCCGGGCGCGCCCGCCGGGCCCCACGGCCGCCTGCGCGCTCAGCGCGCCGC